GCGAGGTAGAGGTCCCTCTCGGAAAGTAATATACGGTACCTAAAGAAAGTATTCGGGGAATTCGTAGGTACTAGAAAATTCCTATTATATTAGTTTTAAGAGTTATAGGGCGAAGGGGGTCGTCCGTAATTGCTACGGTCTTATCCCTCTTCTAGAAGCGGCTTTCGGCGTTCTTCTAGGTCCTACGCTAATACTAAGATATATACCCCGCCGTATTCGCTACCTAATTTTCCTTAGAAATAAGGTAGATCTTCCCCTTCATTTTTAAGATTATTAACATTATCGTTACGCTTACTAACACTACTACTAAGAAGCCTACTATATCCTCTACTACTAGTACTAAATATAGCGACCGGCGTAGCTAAATTAGAGCTAGTTAGTATATTCGTCGGTAAAGAAGTTAAGGGCAACGTAGAGCGTTAGTAGAATCGCTTTAAGAGACAGTAGAGTTAAGTTAATAGCAGAGCTAATCTAGTTTAGTAGCATAAGGAGTTTAATATATAGACAAAGGGTAAGGTAGTATTAGCTAGTAACCGGCCCTATACCTATAGGCTAGGTACTAAGCCTATAAAAAAGGCCTCCTTCTATAGAGTAGACAGATTATTAACCTCGTATAGCATACTATTTATATTACACTTTTCTAGTGCCTATGTTATAGGGCTCTAGTTACTAGCCTAAGCGACAAGTTTGTTATCCTATCTTGCTAAATATAGCTGCCTATATTGCTATTAGTTATATTACTCTTAGTAACCTATATTATTACTACTAGTAGTAGTAGTAGTATTAGCTTCCGTCCTTTATTAGAGCCGAAGGTAGGGCTATCTCTTTATATCTAATAGGTATAGGTATACTAATTATAGACATATTAATAGTATTAGATATTTACCTACGGAGATTAAATTAGGCCTCCGAGCGGAAGAGCTTAGCGATAGAGCTAACCTATATCTATTACTAAGGAGGTAGGAGTTAATTAATACCCTTAAGGGTATTAAAGAAGCGAATACCGCAATAGTTAACTTAACTAATAGTAAACCGGAGATCGAGGCTAGCGCTAATACTACGAGTTAGTAGCTAAAGGTATTATATACCGGCTTGTTTAATATTCTAGAATACCTTACGACCCGATATCGCGTATACTCGGAAGTGCGCCGCCGTAGTAAGGCAGTATTAGCTAAGCGTATTAGGCGCCTTTGTCGGTTAATAAACACTTAACCCCTACTTAGGCCTAGGGATCTTATCCTTCTTAGGAATTAGTCGATCCGTTAAAAGAGTTAGCAACTACTATAGACTAGGCTGTTCTATCTTAAACAATTAAGCGATAGTATAGACAATGCTTTTAAGTTATAGACTACTAATAGGACTAAGTAACGTTACTATAGGGCCTATACTACTACGAGTATTTATAGAAGTTTGCGCCTAGAAGTAGATACCTAGTAAAACAGTAGATCGATATAGTAGAAGGCCTCCTATAACCGCGTACGTTATACCTAAAGAAGGTAAAAGAAGATAGAGGTATATTACTAATTCAACCTACGTAATAGTACTTAGCAACTAACAATCGAGCGATATCTCCGAAACCTCCGTATTAACCGATAACTACGGGTATTAAAGTATTTACTAAGCCGTGCCCTTTATATATCCCGTAACCTATTATTAACACTCGCTTACGAAGTATTACTATAAGAGTATAGATACATAGATTAGCCTAAAGCTATAGATAGAGATATAGATTAGACATAGTAACTAGCGTATTACTAGCGTAAGAGGCTAATTTGCATAATACCTAAGGGACCTATTTAGCGTCTAGATACTTCTTCTTTATATAATAAGCCGTATAGCGGCTAGAATATTATACAAGGCAATAGCGACACTATATCGCAGGCCCTAAGACTTGTAGAAGGGGGAGTAGTTAGAGAGTTAGAGCCTAAGGCATCGATAAAGCAAACTTAGCATACTAGTAACGAGAGCCCTCTTCCGTACTTAGAAGTTCTACCTCTCCGTATCTATCGAATATATAGTTGCTATTACACTTCTACTACTACACCCTTTAATAAATAGAGGTATTATCTATATAAGTTAGAACTATTAGATTACTTCCTTAATAGATCTCTAGTGTTAAGATATATAGTCTATTCTAGTCTCTTAAAACTTGTTTTAGGCTATATAGGCTCCTTTATCTACCTAATCTATACTTAGATCTAAGTTCTTTATTATACAGATAAATGCCCTATAGTACTTTAGTTCTAGGAATTTATTATCTTTAAATTCTCCTAGTCTCTTCTATATAGTTAATCTTATAATTATACTATCTCCTCTCGATTCTATTAGGTATAACTACTTCTTTCTTAAGAAGTTGTTAATAATCTTAAGCTACTATTTAAAACCTAGCCTTAAATTAGGCAACAGTCTCTATAGATACTAATTAAAATAAGAGATAGCCTAGCTAGCTTCCTCTTAGTTTCCTTACCTCTATATTTCTTTATTTTAGCTAGAGAATATACTCTATAGAGCTAGTATTTTATAAAGATAGAGATTTTGTTCTTTACGTTAGTAACTTTATAAAGATCTTTTAGTAACGCTTTTCTAGAGTATCCTACTCTTCTATACTATAGTTCCTACTAATCCTTTCTAGTCTAGGCTATAGAGGTATATATATTACTGCTTGTTAAGTTATACGAGTTTATCTAGGTCTTAGCTAATTTCCCTAATAAATATTACTCCTCCTAAAAGCCTATCTAGATAACTAGCTTTCTATTAGGTAAATAAAGTATAAATATTAGTAGTTGAATACTAAACTGTTTACTAAATTAGTTCTAAGAAATAAGATTTACTCTAAGCCTAGATATAAAGAGAATATCCTTTAGTAAAATCTACCTACCTTTTCTTCTACCTATACTTATACTTCCTATATAGGTATCTATTAGGTAGCTATTCCTAACCTTAATCTACTTCTTCCTTTTAAGAGGCTTTAGGTCTCTAAGGAGTAACTATTAGCTAACTTTATAGATAGAAGTATAGGAGTTAAGTAGCTATTTAGATAGATTATACTTACCTTTTGCTTTAACAGTTAAATAAGCTACCTTATCTATATCTTCTTCCTTAGAGGGAAGTAATAACTTAGAGGATGCCTCTATATCTTATACTCTATAGACCTTTTTAGAATACAAATTCCTAAATTTCTTCTTTTCTAGTAACTATATCCCTAAGTTTAACTTCTTTACTATTTCCTTAAGTTGCTCTTTATCTAGTAAAGATCCCTTCCTTACTCTAGTTAGGGATTGCTTCTTTACTATCTTATAGCTCTACTTTAGATTAGTGGGCTTAATAGCTACCTTTGCCTTATCTAGGTTAGGGCATTGTCTATTCTAATACTTCCTTCTATATAGGAAGTATATTAGACCCTTACTACTTCCTACCTAGTTCCTTCTCGTAGTAAATATAGCTATTTCTTAGCTTATTATCTACTCTTCCCTTTCTCTTAGGATCCTAAGAATGTTCTAAAGGCTAAAGTCCTACCTTAGGTTAATTCTATCCTTAATAGTACTAAATAATTCTAGAAATGCTACTAGAAGTTATTAGACCCTTCTCTCGTTAGTCTTAATATCCTTAAACTATAGAGAGAATTAATACTACCTTTCTAGCTATACTACTTAGGCTTTACTAGGCTTTATTAATTATCCCGCCTTCCTTTATACTAAAATTAGCATATTGCTAGATTTTAGTAAGCTTCTTCCTATTACTTAAAGCTTCCTCTTGTGTTTCCCTCTTACCTAGTCCTATAAATGTTTCGTATACTTAGTAGGCTCTTAGTATTTATCCTAGTTATCTTCTAAAATATATATATATATATTTTATATAATGCTATTCTTTTATAGACCTTATAAACTATCTCTTATAGTACCTATTCGACCTTTAGCTTTATTTATATCCTAATAATCTTAAACTGTAATTTACAATTCTCTTTTATTAAGACTCGTCTAGCCCTTCTCTTACTAATTCTACTTCCGCTTTCTTAATCTATAATTTCTTCTTATACATTAAATTTAAATAAACTCTAGAAATAAGCTCTTTCTCTAATCTAAAAATACTATTATAGTTTCAAGATAGCTATCTTCTAAACTTAGTAGATCCCTAGCTCTACTAGGCCTATATTAGTTTTAAAGGCTACTAAAAACTTAGTATAGATTAAGGCTCTATAGGGTAGATAGCTCCCTTAAGCCCTTCTTAATTATAAACTTATTAGTTAAGGTATTAGTAGTACTAAGTACTAAGTCTAAGACTTACCTGAAAGTGCTTAAAACTTAGGCTTATCTATTCCCTTTATACTCTAGTAATCTAGTATACGCTAAAGAATATACCTTACTAGGTTCTTTTATAGCCTTTATATAGCGAGAGCTTCTTTATATAATATATATAGGCCTATCCTAAGTCGCCCTCCCCTATCTTACCTCTTCCTTCTAGGACTAGACTTATAGGTTTAAGGATAACCTATACTACTTTAGTCTTCTCTCTTATAGATATAAACCTAGGCTATAGCCTATCGAGCTTAGGAAGGCTATTAGATATAAATAGATCCTAAACTATAGTAGAAGATATAAGGGGAGTTAGGGGCTTTATTATTATTATTATTATTATTATTATTATTATTATTATTATTATTATTATTATTATTATTATTATTATTATTATTATTATTATTATTATTATTATTATTATTATTATTATTATTATTATTATTATTATTATTATTATTATTATTATTATTATTACTAAACCCCTAGAAGGTATTGCTTTAGATTAGTTTAATAACCCTTGTTATATAATCTAAGCTAGCTTAGCAGGAGCTTCTAGGTTGCTACCTAAGAACTACATATTCTAACAGTCCCTAGCTATCGTAAGTAAATGTCTTTCCTAGAATCTAAAACTGTCGAGACAAGCGCGCTACCCAAAGGCCTGTCTCGTAAAGCTTGGGTATCGAGTCTGGGATCGCACTATGCTTCTTATGCCACTGCAACTACGGCCGTCTCAACAACCGCGTGCTCGCCGACAGTGGTTGTACCTGTCGGAACATCTCCCAGTAATCTCGCCACTTCCATCTCACTCTCGACTTCCAACCATGTTTCGAACTCCGAGCCACAGACGTTCCTTCTCCTTTGCCGGAAATCGCGGTACAACCAGTCCCAAGCCTCTCTTTCCTCGCATGAATCCTGACGTCCTTCTCCGCCGCATTCAGGTCTCGCGCTTTTGAGCAATTCGTAGCTCTGCGCAGCCCACGGTTTGGGGAGCGGGAAGTCACTGAAATGAACATAGTGTGCTTCTTCCAGCGCCATTTCCGTGCTCCACTTGCCCTTGTCCCCTAGGTATGCGGAATGATTGGATTCTCTGAACTCGCCCGTGAGTAGAATGTACCCTCGATGTGGTAAAATCATCGTTACACTGTCCGAGGAAGACGAATAGAACAGCTTGTTCACAATCTCCATGTCATAGTCAGAAGCACCACGATTGGCGGTGTGCCATTGCACAGTGTTGAAAGCAGCCTCAGAAGGAGTGAGAAGAATCATGGAAGAGCATAGTTTAGGTGAGTGTGGCATCATGAACGTATTCGATGATTCCCAATAAGCTCGAGGCATTGCGATTTCGACTTCTGGGGGAAGGAGGAAGAGGTGGTCGAGATTTTGCAAAATCGTACTGTCGCTGTCAAGGGCAAGGACTCGTCGGTATTGGGTTTGGTTGAAGGCGAGGAGCTTTGCAAAGGAGTTTGCCCAGGCAGACTCTGCAGGAGGTGGAGAAGCCATCGTCAGTGCAATCGGTTGCAGTTTCGCGCCGTATATACCTGCTTGACGCAGAAGGCGAGCTTCGGTGTTCTGGCTGCTTGTGTCGGAAACGTTCCAGAGATCGCCGGGGTAGAGCAAGATGCGATCTGGCTTGGCGTGAAGTCGTTGCAGGCTTTCAAACAGCTGCAGCGAAGAGCAGAGATTTGGCAGGTCAGTGGCGTAGCTGACATCTAAAGCGCGAGGCGTGATCGGTCAGTATTGGCTTCGAGAACAATGTGCTGATAGACTCAAATGCGCTTACAGGCAAATGAAGACCAGGTCTCATCGGGGAAGACAAGATTCAGGGCGTCGATGGACGAGTGTTTAGAGAGCCATGGGAGACGAAGATGTGGATGACCAGCGCTGAGATCGAATTCCTGCAGAAGTCGTCGCCGCATGGAACCTCCAAGTATCCAGAGCCCAGTCAGTATCAGAACGGACAACACGAACCGCTCATGAGTCCTGCTCCATCTCTTATGCCAAATTCCAGACGGAACATCTGCAGGTTGTCTCATTTTAGCGGACTCCAGTGGCGGCCAAGTTCCATATCGCCCTTTTTTCACACCTCGCACGGGCGAGGGGAGCCATTCGCGGCCGAGAGCCTTGGTCGTGTAGAAGGCAGTCATATACCTCGTGTGGGAGTGCGAGCATTGCGATGAAGTCCATATTAAATGTGTGGATAAGATAACGCGACGCGTCTGGGCAAGGGATGTGCGATCACAACGGAATGCTGGTTAATTTCCATGCTTGTGCGGCATGCTACATGTCTACCTTTTGCCGAAGAAAGACGTGATGTTGCCCTGACCTTTCTTTGCAGTCTTTTTCTCGCCAGCTTTCGAACTCGGAGCAGACGCTGATACTTTTGCCTTTTTAGGGGCGGGCTCTTCTTCTGAGAACTCTTCCCAAACCGGCTCTTCCTTAGTGACTGTGATGCATTAGCAAAGGCCAGGCAGAGAAGGGGGTGGCACGTACCCAGGTAGCCCTCCTCATCTTTGACTGTCTTCTTCTTCATGATCCGTCTTCGGCCACGTCTACGACCGTTCTCCACAGTGACGGTCTCCTTCGACTCCTCGTCTCTCGCGGCGTTCTTGTCCAAGGCACCATCATCGTGCCGGCTCTTATCTTCAGGTGCTGGCTCGTCGGCGGGCTCTGGTGCATCATCCATTGATTCGTCTTCCCGGTCCATCATCGCTTCCAGTGCAGCCTTCCTATCTTTCCTCGAAGCTCCCGAGGGCCCTCTAGTCTCCTCTGGCTCGGCAAGAGTTGCGTCAACATCGTCATCATCGTCGTCTGAGAAGCCAGTCATTGGTGCATCTTCGGCGGGAGGAGAAGGGACCGTTGCACTCTGCTGTGACTCTGATTTGCTTAACTTCGCAGCGCCTCTTGCAAACGCCTTTCGCAACCCGCCTTCCTTTTTCGATGTTGCTCCCTTCTTGGTCGTGCTTGATGTCGCAGTCTTTGCTGTCGCACTCGTGACCGGCGTTTTTGAGTCTTGACTATCCTCCCGTGCTGGCTGCTGCGGCACTGTAACTGGTTTTGCTTTCGTCGGCTCGGGCTTTTTTGCAGTTGCCGCGGGAGGCGGAATTGGCGGTGCATTCTTGCGTGTCCTTCGCTTGACGTTTGCATTCTGTATGACACCATATTGTTTCCACTCCGTCAATGGGTCTTCGTTCGCATAGTCGGACAGCAGCCTCCGATTGCAGTCGGTCAACAGCTGGAAGTCGCTCAGACCGTTCGGCTGCAGGCTGTAGATGTGGATGCCAGTGATGGTCTCAAATTGGGCCCTCGCTTTTTCTAGCTGCTGCTCCCTCACCAACATCACCGACCTGATCAACGCGACCTCCACCTCCCGGTTACTGGCACTGGAATTGTGTTCGGCATGTGGCTGATGGAGAGAGCTGCTTGGCATGGGCGGACTGCTGTTCATCGGCACGTCTCCATCTTGGTCATTTTCATCTTGGTCATGTTTGCCATCCGCATTGGTGTCAGTGCTCGACGCAGTGTGGGAACGCTTCGTGCCGGCGACGAGGTAAGTTGCGTGAACGCTGCCGGGCTTCTTGCTATGCTGCTTGCGGTGAAATTCGTACAGCATCTGCTTTGCCGTATTGCTGTGCACTTTCAACGCTCGGCTCAAGTTTCGGTATGTGACATAGTGCTGTTCATTTAACACATTGACGGCCAGATATTCGTTGTAGTCTTGCGACATCTTGCCGACAGTGCGCACGGCGAGTGCTGCTCTCTAAGAGGCCTCGACGATAGCCTCTACTTGGGGAAGACGCGTACGCGTAGATTGAGAACGCGAACACGTCAAGCGCCCTAGCGACTAAATTAGAATCTTAGCCCAACAAGTTCAAATCTCGGTACCAACCGAGAACATAGACAATCGCTACAAACCAACAGACAATCACTTCGGCCTATTGCGTTACTCTTCTCTTGTACTGTATTTGCTTTTAAGATAGTAGTCTCTAATAACAATGTATAGCTATAGAGAGCCTAATTCTTCTTAAATCTATCTTCGCTATTTTTATGAAATATTCAAAACTAGTATTTCTAGTACTATTTTTATTAAATCTATTATAATAAATATAAAAAACTAGTTCTACTTTAAATAGTTAAATAGTATATATATTATAATATTAAAGAATAATATTTTATATAGTTTAGATATTTCTTTATAAATAGCTAGTATACTAAATATAAGTTTTAATATTCTAAAATAATACTAGTAGACTCTATTAGTACCTTATATTTTAATACTAAGTATTGTTCCTAGTATGGTATATACCTAAGAGTTACAATTGCTACTATTGTATAAGTAATCTACAGAAGCCGAGATTTCAATTTATTAGAATGAGATTTCAATTTAGTTGCAGGGATTTCGCCCGCTCCGAAAGCTACTGCCATCTGTTCATAGCAGCTTGTTCAACAGGCCAAGCATGCGTGGGGTGCTTTGTGCACGAACAACTCGCAAGTCGTCGTCACTTTCACGCATCTCCTACTATGACCTCAGATGAACGGCTGCAGCAAGGACTGCAGATCGTTGGAGAAGCCATCAATATTGAGCCGTATGACTTTCAAGACCACGAAACCTGGAAGTTCCTCGGGCTTGGGGACATGCTTGCCGCCGCGACGGCCTCCGACTTGGTTAATGCTGGCATCCCAGTACCCGTTGATGTCTTCGCTAGATGCCCGACGGTAGGAGAGTTCAAAGCCTTCCTTGTGGGCGATGTGAAGCGAACAGAGAATGCTGTCCAAGACACTGCCACCTCTGCACCAGTCGAGCCAGCAGATCCCTGGGAAGGCGTTCCCAAGCCGAAAGTGCCCTTATCGGTAGTGCTTCAAGGCCAACCAGACAATGCCAGCACAGTGGCCTTTCTGCTTCCTGACGGGAGCGGAGCAGGCACGTCTTACGGCACTCTACCAACTGTGGGCGGCAACGTCTGCCTGATTGGCCTCAACTCGCCATTCCTGCGCCAAGCTGAGAACTTCACTTGCTCCATCGAACGGATGGCCAGGTTGTGGATCAACGAGATTCGCAAATATCAGCCCAAAGACAGGCCATACACGCTTGGTGGCTGGTCTGCTGGTGGCTACTACAGCTTCGAAGTCACGAAGCTTCTCACAGCCGCCGGCGAGAAGGTCGAGAGATTGATTTTGATCGACTCTCCTTGTCGACTACGATATGAAGCATTACCTGCGCAAGTGGTCGCAGAACTTACGAAGAAAGGCCTCATGGGTGCTTCCGGGGCCAAGAAAGCGCCAGAATGGCTCGTGCAACACTTTACTTCAACAGTGCTGTCAGTCGAGAAATACACTCCAGTCCCGCTTCCTCAGAACCAAGTGCCGCCCAAGGTCAACCTCATCTGGGTGAAAGACGGCTTGGTCAAGAGTGTTCCCGAGTCCGGCCTTGACGTTGATATGAAAGTCAAGGTCACCAGGTTTCTACTTGAGCCAAGGCCACATCTTCAGAGTGAGGGATGGGAGATATTACTTCCAGGCGCGACCTTTACATTCGACTACATGACCGGTAACCATTTTCAGATCACTCAGCCGCCTCATGTGAGTAGCTCACGGGCGTCTCGATACTGACTGCCCGATGCTGACTTGGTTCACAGTCTGACAGTCTTGGTCACCTGTTGAGCAGAATCCTTTCTGAATAGCACCGCGTGTATCGCACATGGCCAGCGACCAGAGCCTCTGTGGCTTGATGCGTGGTACATCTCCCGTGTTTGATGTCTGCTTCACCTTCAGAACCCTAGCTGCTCGCGTGGTAATCTATCAGCGCTGAAGTGAAGCGCTACATCGAAGTGTGCTTGCGATCCAAAGCGCAGGATGCGAGGTAATTCGAGCACATTTCGCTATTCACGAAAGGATGGAGCAATTTTGCTCTCTAAATACACTCCGCTCCGCCGGCGTCGGTATTTTTGCCTGGCTACTAAACCGAGCCCCAGCTACCCGCCCGAGCCCTAGCATAACCCGAGATTACGAGATCGGCTGTTCTATACATAATCGCGTATAGAAGCGGATAATCGCGTCGATACAGGCCCCGCTAGCCGGGCAACTACTACAATACTACTACTAGCAATACTACTACTAGCTATAAAGCTAAAGTTTGTTAGCAAATTAGTAGTATAGCAAAATTAAAGGTGTTATTAGTTATTAGCTATCTACTTAGGCCTAAGCGGACTACGACCTACCGCCTTATAACTACGCGAGGCTATATATACTAGCTTATACTAGTCTCTTAGTTACTAACTAGTATACTCCCTTACTAAGTAAACTAATAGTGCTACTACTAAGCAAACTAATAGTGCTATTACTATAGCACCTAGTAGTAGAGCGGCCTTTCTACTAGCTATATAAGCGACTACTAGTACTATTACTAAGCAGCCTATCGTTATTATTGCTTATATAATACCGCTTACTAGCGGCTATAGTCTACTTACTATCTCGTACGTTGTTCTTCTACCTATAATCGAGCGTTCTTACGTACTCGGAGGTCTTTAATCTCTTAGTAGAGTAAATCTAGCTTAGAAGGAGGCCCTAGTACCTTTAGAAGTAAAGACTCGACGCGTAGATTATAGTACTTAAAGCCGCTTAGATAGCAAGTAGAGCTATACGCACGATTAGCCTTCTAATAAGAGTATTATTAAGTGCGGTATTAGCTCTTAACGTACTTATAGTACTTAATAGTCGTCCTTAGCTAAGTAAGTAAGATACTAGGCTCGAGTATAAACTTAGTCGTTCTAGCTATCGCTATCTTCTATCGCTTAGCGACTGCTATCTTATTTAGGTCGTCTAATTCGCGAGCTATAGTAGCGCGCTTTGTTATATATAATATAGCTCCGCTAGTAAGAGGTTTACAGTTACTAAAGATTACCTCTAGCTCTTATAAACAGACTATTCTATAGAAGTCGATAAACTAGTACTCGTAGAAGTAACTTAGTAATAGAACGGCGCGATTGCCGCTTGTCTTAATAAGCTTTATTAAGTCGTAGATATATAGATAACTATAGGTCTTACGAAGGTAATCGTTATAGCGGTACCGTAGATAGCTATACGAGAACGCTAAGTGCTTTACCTCGTTGCCGTTATTGTTAGTTATAGTAAGTAGAAGGTCGTTAGCTCGTAAATATAGTACCTTTACCTCGAGCAAGCAATAGTCGCTTATTATACGAGATATACTCGCCTAGAATAGTCTAGTTAGTGCCTTATTGCATCTCTTTAGGTTCTTAGTAAGGGCAATACGACGGCGGTCGTAACCTTCTTACTACTATTATAATAGGCTCTTAAAGAGCGTAAAGATATCGTAGCGGCTACTATAGTTAAGCTACTATTTTTATATATCTATATATAGCTTTAACTCGAGAGGTCGTCTTATAACTAAAGTAAAGAACCTTGTTAGTCTAGTAGTCGACAATATAAGCCTTATATCGCTACTAGTTGTTGTGGGGATAGGTCTTAAATATAGGATATACGTTGTCTAACTTCTTTACGTTCTCGTTAAACTCCTATTTAGTTTAACTATAGATAGTATATATAAAGAGCTATAGAAACTTACTAGTTTAAGGGTTGTCTATCTAATAACCGTCGCTCTTAACTTAACTAAACTCGCCTCGTTCCTTACGAACTCGAGTTAATATATCTTATTATAGATACTAGTTATATACGATATTAGTAGACTCCGGAAATACCTCCTTAATAGTACCTATAAGAGCTTCTATACGGTTAGTACTAATAACCGATAGCATAGCGCAATCTACTTGTTTAAGGCCCTCCTAGATAGCCTTTAAGAGCGTAACAAAGTCTACCCTATCTAGCTTTAGACGGATAAGACTAACGCCTAATTTAATAGTATTATTTATAGGATTAGTACTAATAATGTCTATTAACTTAAGGTTATAGATATTTGTAGAGTATGTCGTGTCTAAGATAAGCGTATATAGCGTATTCTTAAAGGCCTTTATTAGGCGAGGATAGAGAGCAACTATATACCGAATAGCTCTTTTTCCTAGGTTCTCGATAATATCGTAAAAGATAGTATGGTCGTCTAGTAACTAAACTATACGTTTAGCCTAGTTTAGGTATTAACGTGCCTTAATATTTCGAGTCTAGGCAACATTATTAATATCCTTTAGCTTTAGGAGAATACTACGGCCTCGAAAGTATACTATAATCTTCGAGGTTAGTATTCGGGCTTACTAAAGCCGCTCGAGTTGCTTAAGAAACTATACTATTCTCGACTACCTTCTATAGATAGTAAGGGTAATAACGTCGTCCTTCTCGTAGTTATAGAAATAGTACTCTTCTTCCGGAGAATAGCGAATAACCTACTAACCTTCGGGCTAGCTAGGGTCGATAGTAACTACGTAGAAGTAGAACTTATAACCTATCTTCTTCGAGGTTAACTTCCGCTTTATTACTCCTTCCTTCTAGGTACGCTTATCTAGTAAGCCGAAGTAACTATATACCTAGCGGTAGCGATATTTAAGATTATTCTTATTCTTCTACGGCTTATACTACTTAAACTCGAATCTAGTCGCCTTTCCGAAGGTATAGACGTACGACTTAAGAGCTCGATATAACGGAAATTGCGACTTAAGCGGTATTAGACTACGAGCGCGCTTCTTCAGTAAGAATAAGTGCTTCTAAGGGCGTAGTAATACTAACTAATAATCTAGTAGATTAATACGCTTACGCAGTAGCGATAGTAAGCGTAAGCGGCCTCGAATACGTATCTCTAAGACAAATTAGACCTCTTTCTATAACTTAACCTCTAGCACCGTCGATCGCGCGCCTTCTATACCTTCTACTAGTATTTCTACCCCTTTCTACGACTTAACTACTACTACCGCCTCCGCCGCCGCCGCCGCTACTACGATACCGCCGCTAGCGATAACTTCTTCGAGAAACTCGTTATACGATAGAGATTTAGCTATTTTCGATAGTTACTAGGCAATCTACTATAAAAGAGGGAAGAAATGCGAATTTTAGGTCTACGGTAGAATTCGAGGCGCGATATCCTAGGTAACCCGTAGCGCGCCTATTAATAATACTAACTAAGAACGGAAATAGCCTATATTAGGTAGAAAGAGTACGTAATTCTATATAAAGGCGATTCTATAATAGTGCTAGTACTAGGTTATACTAGGGCTCGGGTAGGTAGCTAGGGCTCGGTTTAGTAGCTAGGGTATTTTTGTTTCCTAGTTTGTCTCTCTACTAGCTAGAATAGATACGAGTAGATTAACTAAGAACGTAAATTATATATACCTCGAGGGTTCTATACAACCCTATAAAGTGCCCTAAAACTACGTAAACTAGTATATAAATCGAGATATTACAAATTACCCCTATAAAAGCTAGTTACCTCGGATTTCTACTATTCCGAATAGCTATAATCGCTCGAAAACGACTAAGTCTATAACTATGCCCTAGTAGTACTATTACTACCGCTTAGAAGCGATAGCTCCTTTTTAGATCCGTCGTTTTAGTAGTCTAGTTAGTATAGGAGATACATTACGAGAGGATTAGTCTATATAGGGCAGTAGGTATAGTATATCTATATATAATCTTCTATAGGCGCGTTTCGAAGATATTACTAGCTTACTAGTTAAGGGCTTCTAACAACGACGAGGCTTATAAGAGCTGCCTAATAGCTATAGTAGATTAAGTAAAGTGTCTTTAGTAGTATATAGAAGAATAGATAATAAATATAGAGCTATAGATAGTACTATAGATAGTATAAACAGACTACTTAGTAAAGGCAAATCGTCTAGTAAGGATAGTAACGACGATTACTACCTTAATACCTCGTCGTTATCGTATTAATTACTTTTACTAGCGCCTTTTAGTAAAGATAGTAGCAATCGACTAATTAGTATAGATTATAGAAGAAGGTCTATATTTAATAGGCTCTTGAATAGGTTGTCTTTACTATCTACTCTATATAAAGCGTCGCTATTGCTACTATCGCTTCTATTATCCGACTAAATAAGTAAGTCGCTAATCTCTATAATAGCGTAGTAGCTAGGTAGACTAGAATTATATAGCGTATAGACGTTAACTAAGATATAACTTATAAGGCCTAATCGGAGGCTTAGTAAATATTACTTTACTAACTTCTAAATCTTTAGAGTTAGATAGTATTAGTAATAGCTTTAACCGAAAGATAGGTTAGCGTAATAGCCTATTATCTATATCTCGCTACTTCTCTTAATAGCCGTTATTAAACTACTATTATATATACGCGTTAATTAAGTTATAGCTTATTAAAGCGTAGTTAGTAACCTACTATAGAAGGGCCTTATATTGCTATACGACGGTTAGGTTAGAAGCCTACGAGTCGTAGAACCGGAAGAAGGCCTACGAGACTAATTCGTATATAGAATAGAAGCAGTCCTTTACTTAGCGCTTCCGTAATACTCCTAGTGCCTTATAGACCTTAATAGTACCTACTATACTTAACTAATTATCGCCGTCTATAATTAGCTTAGTCTAGTACTATTAAGGATAGATTAGATTACTATCTAGACCTTAGAAGCGATTAATATAGAGCCGGTAACGTTCTAGTATAAGAATACTCGTTCCCTCGATATAGAAGCGCTAAATATACTTATAAGGTAGGTAATAGCTATACTAGACGTTACGAAAACTTTTTTTCCGATCGCGACGATCCTATCGATAGAATTGCTTAGAATCCTTAGGATCCTTAGAATCCTCGGGATTGTACGTTAAAGATCCTATCGGATAGGATCGCAAATTTCGGGACGGGCCGTCCCGAAATTAGGCTAAGGAATATAAAGGACGCGGGACAAGTTAGAGCCCGACTACTACTACTACTACTACTACGAGGTATTTCGGGGTATTACGCACTTATATAGGTCAAATTTCGCGGTTTCGTAGGTTTTTTTTATAAATAAATTTTTTTCGTTAAGGTTTCGTTAAATGCAGCCGATATTTCGTTAAGGTTTCTTTTAAAAGCCGACGCTTAATAAGCAGAACTTTGAAAAAAAGTACACTCGAAATACTCGAGATTCTTTTCTAGATTCTAAGATAACTACTAGGTATTAAGACTTAAAAATTTTATAATACTCTTATTAGTAGGTAGAACTTTAACTTCTTTTTTTTAGATTTCTAAAAATAGTAAAGTATAACTTAGAAAAGCTAAAATACTACATTGCTTATTTCTGTTCCCTAGCTTTAGTTTCGTAGAAAATCTATAAATTTTATATTTTCTTCTAATAATATACTAAAAATAGAGTACCTTTCTACTATATTACTAAGCTATAAGCCTACTAGAAAAAAGGATAAATTAGAAGCAAAATGTCTAAAAAAGCGATTTTCTTTCCTTTATATCTCTTTATCTAGAAGGGTTACGGCTTAGTAATATATAACAAAAATGTTCTATTTTTAGTCTAGTATTAGGCAAAAGTCTAACTTTTATAAGTTACCTATTTATCGTTCTAGGATAGCTTAGGATCGCTCGCGATCGCTCGCGATTACTAGGATCGATAGGATCGATAGGATCGGTAAAAAAGTTTTCGTAACGGAATTAGTAGAATTATTTACTATAAACGCTATCGTACGGAGCCGGTAGTGCTATCCGCTAGATAGGCTTACAGTTATTAATATCGTTATAGTACTATATAAGCTAATCCGCTAACTTCTTCTATATTACGAGAGGTAAGCGCCTTAATTCGATAGTCTTACTTTGCCGCTATATTAGAGGCTATCTAATAACCTCCTAACTACGCTATTTTAACGGACTCGGTCGCGAATATAGCTATTAATCTAAACGACGTATAGAACTATACCTATAATAGTTAGTTATTATTTCTAGAAGAGCTAAGAAGCTATAGAAGTATAAGAATAATACTAAAAGCCGCCGTACTAAGGAATTTATAGGAATAGGACGAATACGTACCTCGTAAGCTCTATTTACGTATCTAACGCTTGTCTCGGCGCTTTAAGTATATATAATAGCCCTCGAGTAGGCTAGTAGTACGAACGGCTATTAAAATCGGGTCTCTAAGTCGTAACTAAGTTACCTAGCGATCGCTTTCGGAAGCCTTCTAGTTTGCCCTTAGACAAGCTAACTCTTCGGCGGCTATAACCGTATTCCTATAGGACTTAAAGGCTACTTAGACCCTATAGTAGTTCGGTTTCCGAACTACTAAACGTATATAGTTTAGTTTCTTAGCGGCGAACTAGCTCCCTAGTTCCGGTTTGGTTTTTTCGAACTATATAGATTCCTAGTTTAAACTAGAGACTATATCAGTTTTACTATAAGGACACTCTTATTCGACTGCCGGTCCGGCTACGATTGCTAGCTATAATAGTAACTCTGTTATATTTACTACGCTCTTTTGCCGTTACTAGGGCGTAGTTGCTATTACTAAGGCGTAGTTTTACTATAAGGACACTCTTATTCGACTACCGGCTACGATTGCCGGCTATAATAGTTACTAGATTATATTTACTACGCTCTATTGCCGTTACTAGGGCGTAGTTGCCGTTACTAGGGCGTAGTTACCGTTACTAGGGCGTAGTTGCTATTACTAGGGCGTAGTTACCGTAGTTACGAAAGCTTACTTATATAACGTTATATAGGCGGTAACAATTAGGGCTTCGTAATATTCTTATACCTTTTAACTTCTTCCTCTATATCTATACCGATAATAACTACTATACGCTACGCCCCTATTCCTTTTTCTTATAATAGCAAGAGAGAAGCGCGCCGCGCGCTAAATAGAAGATAGAACTAAAGACCGCGAGTTTATTTTACCTAAGTATCTAACTAAAAAGCGTAAGACTAAAGAGGAGTACTTTATAAAGAAGAATTCTATACGAGACTACGAGAGAAAGGAGAAGATAGATAAGGATAAAAGAGCTAAGAATAAGAGAAGAAAGGCGCGGAATAAGGCATTCTATTAATAGCTAGCGCCTATAGAAAAAAGTAAAGGTTAGAATAAGAAGACAACCTAAGAGAAGGCTAAGAGGAGGAAAGAATTGCGGCTAGTTTTCGAGCGTAAAGTTCTAGTAGCATAAGTTAATCTAGCTAGCGGCCGTAGCTAGCAGCTATAGCCGGCAGCTATAGCCGGCATATTTTTCTTTAAAACGTTAACTAATAGTATTTAGACCTATAGCCGCTACCTCTATCGATACGACCGATAGTAACGGAGATGTTTAGATAGCCGAGAATAATAATACTAGAGTTTAGGATACCGCGATAGAGCTTAATACTACGAATAAAGGAACTAAAAAAAGCGAGGAGATACTATACGTCGATCTAGTAATAGGTATAGTCTTAGGGCCTAACGCTATAGACGATAAGCGCTAGGAGCAGATCGAGTACAGTTAAAGAGACGACATACTAGTAAAGGGCTAAGGTATAAGTCCTATTAATCTAGAAAATTATAGTTAAAGCTACTACGAAAAGCTAGTAAGGATTAGAATCGAGACTAGTCGTCTTTATATCCTCGATATAGAGTAGAAGTTTCTTTATTAGTATTAGAGCGAAGCCTTTACGTCTATAAAGGCAAAGTAGCTTACGATTAATACGATCGGGGCTAGGTATCTAGGGACGGTAGAAGTGTTACTAAAGGAGGAAGGGGGATAGGTAATTATTCTATACTCGGTATATATAGCCGGCGTTCGTAGCCGGTAGATACTAATAGTTAAATAGAAAGCGTTTCTCGAGGGTAGAGTGCTACTACTATATAAAATCTTTACTAAGGCAGAGAGGGCTTATATCCGGAATCTAAGCTACTAGTAGGATAGGTTAGCGTTAAAATTCTCTAAATCTCTATATAAGCCTCCGAGGGATTACCTATTTTAGCGATACGGCTTTATCTCGACTACTCCGTAAGTACCCGACGAAGCTCGAACGCTCTTTAAGGTCTTTACTAAGAAGCGGAAGGAGTTCGAGGATTAGGATTAGTTAATAGAGCTATTAGTTAGTCTTAGGTTTCGTAGTTAGACTCGGCCTAAGAATTTACTTATCGAGTGTCTTATACTAAAAGAGGATAGATTAAGACTAAAAACGAGCTTAGATTCGTTAGGTATAGTAGCTCGGTTCCGTTAGCAGGAGAGAGCCGCCGTATAGAAGGCAAAATTCAGGTAGTTAGGGTAGCTAGGAAAGAATTTCTAGTAGTTAGGCTAGCTAGGGTAGCTAGGAAAAAAAAATCTAGTAGTTAGGTAGCTAGGAAACAAAAAAAAAGATAGCTAGCTATTTACTACCTAGCTATTCCTAACGATACGATACTATAAAAGAAAGGGTGTTTCCCTATAGCTACTAGTATATATCTACTACTCCTAAGTCCTTACCTTACTATACGAAACTTTAAAACATACCGACCGATATTATATATATACTAGGCGCTATACTAGGAAGGCTAATAACGAGACGATAGTCGAAACAGTCTAGTATACGAGCGAGATTACGATAACGTCGAGAGAAGGTTATATACTTACCTTCGAGCCTATTAAGTCCTAGATAACGATTAGGGCTAGATTTATCCTCTCTGAATCCTAGTAGTAGGAATTTATTATAGGATACTACTACCTAGTCTTTACTTTTATAGAGTCTAAGTAGAAGGTTGTTCGGAGATATAAGAATATCGAGTATTAACCCAGATATCTTCGAAAAGGCTAGCTAGGCGTATCTTTAGAAACCCGAGTATACCGAGCAGTTTAATTAATAGGTCTATAAGATATAGTTCCCTTTATACTTACGTTCGAAGGAGTATAAACTCTAGAAATACTCGATATAATAGGGTAGTAAGGAGCGAACGGATATATTGTAGAAGTTCTTTATAGACTAGGTATAACACCGTTATACGACTTCTCGACTTAAAGGTTAACTAGTAATTGTCTATAACTTCTATAGTTTAATCTTAAAATACCCGGAACTAGGGGATAGTAACTTATCGCCTACGAACTATCTCTATTCTAAACGATATAGGGAATCTTAAGAAAAGAGGAGGGTTAATATAGATATAGCGTTCTAGAAAGAGGTACGTCTTCTAAAATGCCTAATAAACCGTAGAGATCTAGCTAATTAATATAGGCTACGCTTAAGGAAGCTCTGGGATTAAAGGCTACCGATTTCTCCCCCGAAGACTTTGGGTAACTAGCAAACGAAATGCTAGCTATAAACGGTCCTTCGGAAGACTTCTATAAAAGGGAGTCTATATAGAAGATATATCTATATCTTATAAACTACCCTCCCCTATTTCTCGGCGCGACAACCTAGCGTATTATATTTAAAAAGAATAAAGAGACTACGTTAGACGATATTCGGGAGATCCTCCGTAATACTCGCCGAGTAGCTATTACTATTAATAGCTAGTTAAGCCGGACTATAAGAGCCTCCTTCCTCTCGATTATACTATACTTTATTAATTCGGATTAGAAACTCTAGGAACTTATAATCGGATTCCCTAAAATTCTAGGTTCCTATACTAGTAAGGATATAGCGAAGCTTATCTATACGGCAATAGATAGGGTTAGCGTAATAACGAAACTAATCTCGATTACTACGGATAACGCTAGTAATAATCGAACATTATATAAGGCGTTATATATATAATTTACTCGCGTATATCTTTAAAATTACTAATCGTATCGATAGGGTCGAGTACGTAAAGGAGATTATAAGGTCTACAATCTAGCTTAATCTTCCGAATATTAAGCTCGCTACAATTCCGGATACGTACGATAATACGTACAATAATAACGATAAAGAGGAGCCTAGTAATAGCTCTAGCCCTATTAAATCGGAGCCGACGTCGATGCTAGTTATATCCCTAGAGAAGTTTCCCTACCTCGCTTATATAGTTTAAATCGCGATCCGAGCCCTTTTTAAGACGCTTAAAATTATACTATTAAACGACGACTAATAGAAGATCCTAGATAAGGATAAAGCAAAGTCGAAAGTCGAGAAACTCGTTATAGTAATAAGACGGGATAAGGTAGAGAGCCTCGCTCTCGTTTTATATAAGGTATAACTTTTGTCCGTAGCCGGTATCCGTAGCCGGCAACCTAGTATAGTTCGAACTCTTTTTCTCTAGCTTCGTCGTCTAGTAATATATACGAACTCGAGCTTATAGAGATATAACCGATTCGAGGCTATTTAAAAGAACCTAATCGAGCGCCCTAAAACTAATGCCTAGAATATCGTATAGAATAAGCGATAGTAAAAGCGGCCTCCTTAGCGCCTACTCCGTTTTACCTAAGACGTTAAGACCCGGTTCGATTCGACTTTCTATATAGTTACGAGGGGATATGCTTTATATACCGCTCTCGAGATCTATTAGAGTTCCGAGGGTATTAAGTAGCTCGGGCTTATCCCCGCCGAATAGCGCTAAGTAGAGTATCTCGTCGATATTAGTAAGCATTACGCGAAGGTTACTACTACGATTAGAAGAACCTAAGGACCGACGATCTGCCTTATCTTTACGTACTATAACTAGCTCTTTAACGAGCTCGACTAAACCGTAGCTAAGCTAGCTAAGAAGAGCGTTCCCTAGAAAGTAGCTATAACGAAAGCTATAGATACCTCCTATACTAAGTTATATAAATATTATAGTGCTACCTTTAAGTCGTTCGGAGATATCTATAGCGTTACGTACTTGCTTAACCTAGTAGAAAAGGATATATACTAGTAGAGGCTAGAATAGAAGGGCGACGAGGAATAGCCTAAGTATTACTAGACTATTCTAGAAAAGATATTCTACGAGCGTCGGAAAGAAACTAGTCTAAATATAGGTTCTATAAAGAAAAAGAAGGTTTAGAAGGCTCCGATATTATACCTGTTTCGTAGGTAGGAAGTAGAGGCAGAAGAGGAAGTAACTACTAAAGTAAATAAAGAAGAGTTCGATCTCTATCGGCGCGCGGATACGTACTAAACCTATAGGCTCGGAAAGAGGGCTAATAATCTCTAGATCTTACCGATTTTCTAGACGAATTCGGAGACGATATTCTCGCTATATAGTAGCGGTTAGAGCCTAAGTTTCTAACGATAGCGTCGGTCGCTTAGGACGTCCTCGCTATATCGAGCGTAGGTATAGGCTATAAGAGGTCTTTTAGTATCGCTCGTTACTAGGGCCGCTTTAATCGAATATACTCGCCTACTACCTTCGAGTCTATTATAGTATTCCGATACTATCTCCTCTACTAGAGTCGCTAAGGGAGGATACTAAAGATTATACTAAAAGACTTAATCGAGGAATTAGAAAACCTTAAGATCGAAGAAACCTAGAAGCGCGAAGAGAATACGAAATTTAGTCTAAGCGAAACCCTAATTAGTAATAACGAAGAGGAGAAGGGCGGAGGTAGAAAGCGATACTAGGTCGAGAAGCGGAAACGTATATAGGCTAAGAGTAGCTTTAAGGAGACGAAGTGTTTACATAGAAGGTAGCGTAGCCGGCGTATATAGCTAGTATATATCTTTAATATATTCCGAATTCCTAGGACCTAAATAGACTAGTTGCTATAGCAACCTACCCCGCTTACCTATAGACTATTTCTAATTCTCTATTCGCTCTTCCTCTCCTTCTTCCCTTTCCCTATATTCTTAAAGATAAATATACCTTAAGGATTCGGCTCTTTAGGCCTTACTAAGTCGGCCGCCTTCCCTTCCTTTAGCGACTATCCTAAGTACGAATCTAACGAGGACCTACTAAGACGGTTTAATAGAATACTATTTAATCTAGAAAGTAAGAGGTATAAATGTCTCTTTACAATTATAGGCTTATTAATTTTCTAGGTCCTAGCGATATACCCTCGTCGCCTGAACGCGTATAAAGATACCTTTAGAGCCTAAAGGGCAAGGGTAAAGCAAGCTAAGTATAGGAAGACTATAGCGAGAACGAGATATCGGAAGAGTAAGACTATCCGTAGTATATATAAAGGAAGGGGGTTTCCTAGAAAACAGTACCGAAAAATAAGAAGGCTTTAGATAGATAGGAGAAGGCTAAAAAGAGTAGATAGACGAAGGCTATCGCGAAGAAAAGTTATCTTTCTATTAAAAAAAAGGGAATAAGGTAGGACTCGACGATAAAGAAGCGGCGCTTTAAACTAGGTACTATTACCCTTCGCTAGATCTAGCTTTTCTAAAATAAAAGAGGGACCGAGCTTTTAATCCCTAAGACTGCCTTCTAGCGACTTATCTAAGAAATTATATTAAATTTTCAGTCTAGTATACGATTTACGGCTAAGGCGATTAGTACTCTTTAGAAAGCTATAGAGGCATTTCTCGTAACCGAGCTTAAGCTTTTAAACCTCCTTACTATCTATATAAAGCGGGTTACTCTTTAAAATAAAGATATATAGCTTCTAGATTTAGCGTCGGTTTATAGCGGATTAGTTAGAAATTGTATTAAGTCGTTAGATTAACCTAGGAGGAGGCCTATTTTCGTATCCTTTTACCGGCTATAGGTACCGGCTATATTTCTAATTTTATTTCCGCGCCGTCCCTAAATCTAAGGTATAAAGTAGAAACCTAGCACTCTATATTTACCGGGCTATTATAGAGACGAGCTATATTTAGATTAGTTTCTTCGTATATCGCGACCTAGCGGATAGTAAGCGAAAGGGCGATAGAACGTTAATAATTTATCTCTATTTAGACCTAAAATACAAAGGTCCTAAGGAGCCCTAGTATTCTAACTATAAGGAGATTCTTTAGTATTAGTACTTTAATCCTCTATACTACGAGGCAGATAGTAAGCCTACGAGAGAGAAACTTTAACGAGAGATTCTCTATAATACGTAGCGCTATTATATAGCGATAGATACGTACTAAGTCTAGCAACTCGAAGAAGAATTAAGATAGCGTATTAGCGACTAAGGAGGAGATCGATAGTATACTAGTAGAGTCGAGGTCTTATAAGCGAAGTACGAGATAATATAGGCTCCTAGTTATTTAGAGTAACGTACTATATAAATAACTAGGCGTACTACTATTATTTACTTACGACCTATATCCTAGGATACTCTTCTCGTACTTTTTATACTCTTTTCTAATACCTTATCTATAATCGCTCCGCGATAACCGAGTAAATATAAGCTATAGGATTTCCGCTTAGTAGCTTAGCCTTCGAGATATAGCGGAGTTGAATTTAGAGCAATAGCCGGTACTCGTAGCCGGTATATAGAGACGGTAGTAGGCCTTTTCTACTAAATAACTAGCTTATTTAGTATAGCCTACCTAATATATCTTATATTTCCTAGTAATAGGCCTAGGTTACTTATAAGATTACTATAGCTAGTAAGGGAATTACTAAAGAATATCTATACTATAGTAGGATACTATTATTTTGCCGGCTATTTATTAAAAGGAGGCTTTCGCCTATTACTATACTAGCTATATATACCGGCTATATTTCAAAGTTTGCCGTACCTGCCTTTTTTAGCTGTACCTACCTTCTTTCCTTACTCTAATATTACTATAATATAGGCTTACGCGACGCTTACTCTATTGCCTAGCGATACCGCGATACTACCTCTCTCGCTATATTTATCCTTCGTATCGATATCTATACCTTTACGCTCTATATCTACTATTATAGTATTTAGAAGTATATGCTATAGAGTCGGAGAGCCGAGATTTAGCTTTCTACTAGTTTTTACTATAGTTAGTTAGCAACCCGGTATTCTTAGTACGCGGAGATCTCCGCTAGTATATCTAAATACTATAAAAACTATATTGTCGCATTTTTAATAGTATAGAGCCCTTAGAGGTGTTATTAATAGTCCGCCTACTAGACGATTAACTTAATAAGATTAAGCGCCTCTTTAATAAGGGTTATCTCTCGAATAATAGTATCTCTAATTTTCTTAATATTGCTAGGCAGACTATCGATAAGCTCTATAACAATTATAAGCTCTTCGGTGTGTTCTATATAGTATATCTTATCGCGTAAGGTCGTCTATAGAAGCTATTACTAATCTATTAAGATATATGTATTTCTAGCTCTTTCTAGGGCCTATAACTAATCTGCCTCTTACTATAGCGTATACTCGAGTTCCTCGCAGATCGACCGATAGTATACTAAGAAGAGGTAATATAGTACCTATACGACGAATTTAGCGTTATCGTAAGCTAGCCGATAGTATCGCGTATCTTAA